TACCCCAAGGATCACATGGAATGCCCATCCTGTGCACATAAATCCCAAAGACATTATACAAACACAATAAACTCAGAACATGCTAAGTCACTGAGTCTATGAATGCAATGGGCAAGGAACTGAGAAAATAAAACTAAAATGGTATAGTGGCTCTAAAATAGCTACTGACAGCAGATTTAACGTGAAAAGTGATGGATGAAATATGCAGCATGAGACACACATTTCTGGATATAGCCATTGTAGGAATTTGTTTTGCTTGAATAAGCTTATTTATTACAAGGGTCTTGTTTCATCTCCCCAACTCCCTCAGAAGAAAGTGGGGGAAAAGAGAAAATAAATGCTTGTTTATTGAAAAAATGAATAATATTTGGACTTATATTCTACTTAATACCTTAGATTAATTTTGATCTGGCCAGGTCCAAAGCTGCTTAGCATCACCAAAGCAAGGAGTTTTTGGGAATGTGTTTATAGGTTTAGGTCCCTCTGGTGGCCAGCAGGGATACTGCAGCCTCTCGGGAAAAAAAATCTCCCACATGTGCCAGAATAAGAAACTTACAGAGCTTAGTTGGGGTTCAAATAGGGTACCACCTGATGTTTAATTCTGATATTGCACTTCCTTACTAGATAATAAAAATCATGACACGGTCCCTTTCTGAAGCTTAAGGAAGGTAGCATTCAAGCCACATAAGGGTACAGGAGGAGGAGAAGGAGCAGGAGGAGGAGGAGGAGGAGGGAGGAGGAGGAGGAGGAAGAAGAAGAAGAATGAAGGAATGAGTGAATGAATGAAGAAAATTCCCAGGATAGAGAAGAGGAGAAAGATGACGGACACAAGTAGAGGGGCTGGTCTTGGCAAAAAGAGAAAGGGGGATGATGTTGAGGTTATTTGAAACAGAAAACAGGGGAGAAAAGCTTGAGACAAATGTCCTTAATGAATTGTAGCTGGATTTCTCAAGGACTTTTGCTGAGAAAGGAAGGAGAGACCTAAATTAATAGCTTGAAAGGATAGTAGGGTTTTAAAATAGTTTGAAAGGATAGTGAAGGTTTCTTAAGAATGGGAAATATTTTAGTGCATTTATAAATAGCAAGAAAGGAGCAAATAATGACAGGGTGAAGATTAAGGGGGCTGATAATGGAGGTAACATGCTGTGGAAGACAGGAGAGGATGAAATTAAGGGTATATGTAGAGGAATTGGACTTGAAGAGGAGAAGGGCCACCCCTTCATCAGAGACTCAAGTAAAGAAGGAAATAATGGGGCATTAAATTAATGTTCTAAGATGAGAAGGAAAAATAATAATAATTATTATAATAACTAATTATAGTCAATATTTATATAGCATTTACTATGTGCCAGGCACTGTGCTGAGCACTTTAAAAATATTATCTCATTTGGTCCTCACAAAAAACCCTGGGAAGTGGGTATGCTATTATTATCCCCATTTTACAGATGAGGAAACTGAGGCAAACAGAGTTTAAGTGATTTGCCCACATAGCTAGTAAGTATCTGAGGCTGAATTTGAACAAGATCTTCTTGACTCTAAGCCCTGAGCTTTATCCACTGTCCCACCTAGCTGCCCTACCTTGTGGCAAGGAGTCTTAATATATTTTTAATTATGATTTGACATATAAAAAAACATGGAAGTATGGGATAAAGCTGAAGATTTGGTGAAATATGAATCTTGCCTCAGCTAGGGAATGGAGGGGAAATGATGCTCTGGGGAGGTCTGAAGAGAGACGAGATGGTTTGGAATAATAACTGTAGGTAGTAGGGTAGAGAATCAATTAGAGAGGAGTATGCCTTTGCTGTAGTGAAGGTCCAGGGGAGACTGATAACAAAATTTCTGTGGTCTCAGTCTGAAGGGTTGCTATGACTTCTCCTGTTGTGAGTAGGAGTAGATGAAGCAGATGGTGAGCATAATTCAGAGCTAGAGTTTGACAAGGCATGAATGAATGATAGCACAAGAGAGCAAAGGAATCAAGAGTGGAGACTAGAATAGAATTGCACTGATTCACTAAGGGGTCAAGATTGGGACAGCTAGGTAGTGTAGTGAGTAAAGTTCCAGGCCTGGAGCCAGGAAGACTCATCTTCCTGAGTTCAATCTGGCCTCAGACACTTACTAGCTATATGATCCTGGGCAAATCACTTAATCCTGTTTGCCTTGGTTTTCCTCATCTGTAAAATGAGCTGGAGAAGGAAATGGCAAACCACTCCAGTATCCCTGCCAAGAAAATCCCATATGGGGTCAGAAAGAGTTGACACAACTGGAAATAACTGAACAACAACAACAAAATTGGAAAGGAAAGAAATTGTGGCCAGGGGAGATGAGATGGCTTTGGACAGAATTGAGAGTGGTAGAGAGATTTTTGTCAATGACAATTGTTAAACACCATAGAACCAAGCACATATCCCTAGGGCACAATAGAGACCTCCTTCAAAGTTGACATGGAGCCATTAACAATTACTTTTTGTCCATTTAATCAGTTTCGAATATATGCAACTGTAGTGGTGTCTAATCCACATCCTTTCTTTCCTGTTCTTTTCTGTACTTTTCTTTCTTTCTTTTCATTTCTTGAGTCTAGATCTCCATATCTTGCCCAAGCTGGAAAAGGGTAGCAGCAGCCACTGATGGACCTTATCATACTACTGATAAGCACAGGAGCTTTGGCTTTCTCCATTCCTGACCCGGACTGGTTCACTGAGCCTAGTGTTCTCATTGCTCCCAAGGAGCTCACTATATTGGTGCTAATTGACTGTTAGCCCTACTGCAGCTCAGAACTTCTTAGTTCAAGGGACGGGACCACCTCGGCATCTCCAATGGCAGGGTTAACATTCCCCTCAATTTTTTTTCCACCAGGATAGCATGATTTTATCAAATGCTTTGTTAAAACACAGGTAAGGTTAAACCAGATCTAAAGCATCTACCAGTCTAGTTGTTGTTTGTCCTTCATTTTTGAAGAGGAACAATGACATCACGGGACCATATCTTGACTCTCAAATGAATTGGATTTAAGTGGGGTAGAATTGAACAGCCTCACTCTCTCTCACTAAGTCACCCAAGTCTAGTGGCAAGACAGAAGTCAAGAGCACTGGCGATGGTCTAGGATGCAGTAGATGACCTTCAATGCCTGACCAAGCTCTAAGCACTCCACAGAACCTGCTTCAGCCACCTTCATGGTTGTTGGGACAAATTGTTCTCTACCCGTTCTGCCAGGGGAAGTCATCATGTGCTTGGGGTAGACATCCCCCTAACTCACTGATGGGTTTGAAGCCTGTCAGTTACCCTCAAGCTGGCTTAGCCCATCTGCCAAAAGAGTTTTTACTGGGACGTGACCACTGCCATGCTTCTTGGAGTCACAGGTGAGAGCTGAGTGCCAGGCGGACCCCAAAGGCGGCTGTACAGCCCTGAAAAGGGCCCAGCAGACCATCACCCCGGAGGTACTAGTCCTCCTTGAACACCCATACACCTCAGTCTAGTAATGCTACCAAAAAAGGAAATGAGGTGAGTTTGGCCATGACCTGTAGCAGTTGAGCCATGCAGGCTCTTTGTGAAGGCCAATATGTAAAGGACTCATGATTTATCTCACTAACTAACTCTTTACTTACCCCTCCTACAGATGTTGCCAAGAATCAGAGACAAGATCTGTAGCATCGAGTTCATAGTTTCTTTTCTCTTCCCTTTCTCAAAAACATTTACCCATTTCTAATTTCAGAATATCATCTCGTCCAACCTTGTAAATTTGGAGCCAGGATTCAAATTTCAATCTGAATACAGTAAGCCAAATCCATGTTGTTTCCACCATACTGTGTCTTTCCTATGGTCTGACATTTTTTTTTCAAGCATCATAGGCACCATCTATGTAAAATTTTCTTTGAATAATTACCTAGGTGCTTATTATTTATTTTGCAAATACCTACTTTTGTACATCGTGTCCCTCTTCAGACCCCACTCCTCCATGGAAATTAGCTCTACCTCTGTGATCCTAGTAGTATAATAGACAGGAACCCAGCTCTAATTGTCTCACAAAGGCTTGTTAAATTTTTGGTGCAGGCATTTACACCTCAGAAATATGCAGTTGCTACAAATCAGGGTCTGATTTTTGTTGACTCCTAGACTTAAGAAAGTTTGAATAATTCAGTCTAAACTTAAAAATATATGTGCATACATTCCTCCCCCCTCCCCTCCCCCCAACCCTAGAGAACCGGGTGTTAAACATTTACCAGCGCATCCCTGCATTGTTCTGTAAAGATTGCTTGAGCAGTAGAATGATCAGGAAATGAATTCATCACCAGACTGGAGGCCTGGAAACTGGAGGCTAATAAAAATAACCGGCATTTATATACTGCTTTACATCTCATTTGAGTTCTACAAAACCCCTGATAATAAGCATCATTTTGTCTCCCCGATAGAATGTAAGCTCCACGAGAGCAGGGACTGTTTCGAGTTGTCCTTGTACCCTCAACAGATAGCACAGTGCCCAGAATATATACAGCGTTCCTTTAAAAGCTCGGTGATTTATTGATTACTTGTTTACATAGTGGTACGTTCCCTGAGCGACGCAAGCTGATGAAGAACAGTAATTGTTTCAGTTTTGTCTATCCCTAGCAGCTTACACAAAACCATGCACACAGTAGGCGCTTAATAAATGTTTGTTTAATGCTGAAGTGCAAGGCTAGAGGGGCAGTCTCCATCTCTGTCTCTCAAGTCCCGCTACTCCCACCCTCCACCCCGCCCCCGGCAACTAAGAGGAGGATGTTGTGTTCACCAGCCCCGCCCAGCCAGAAGCCTCATCCCTAGAGAGACTACTTCCTCTCCCCTTAGTTAACTACTCTTGCTGTTGCGCCTGCGCTAACGTCTGTCCTGGGCCCCGCCTCTCTCCTGAGATTTTCAACTGCAGGCTTCCAGACGGCCCGCAAGAGGGCGCAAGCGGAAAGTCCTCTGGTCCCACGCCTCTATCGTCCGTAGTGAAGAAGCGGTCTGCCCCGGAAGTGGTCGGGCTCCGGAGCCCAGAGCTTCCGGGGTGGGAGGGGGCGGCTGAGGTGACCCCAGAAGCCGAGGCTGAAGCTGAGGCTGAGGCCTCAGAGGCGGTAGCCACAATGGGTGCACACCTGACTCGCCGCTACTTGGGGGATGCGGAGGTGGAGCCCGACCCGTTGCACATGCCCACCTTTCCCCCGGATTATGGCTTCCAGGGACGCAAGGAGCGAGGTGAGAGCAGCGGCTGTGGGTAGGGGAAATTCGGGAACCAGAGGAGAAAAAAGCCTCCCGTGGTCTAGTGCGCAGGCGCCGGGCGGCTGAGCAAGGGCCTGGGATCCTGCGGGGGGCGGGGGGGGGGGGTGGGGCCGGGGGGGGGGGGGGGGGGGGGGCGCCGAAGGCCGCGTGAAATCCCGGCTCGGCCGCCTTTATTTCTGTGACCTTGGGCAAGTCGCTCTGCTTCTTTGGTGATCAGTTACCTTCCCCTGTAAACTGAGGAGCCCCAAAGTCCCTTCTTGCCCCGAATCTGCGATCCACTCTTGGACAGCTCTGGTGGACACCCCTTGCTTCTAACTCAACAAAGCCAACCCATCTTTCTTTTGAGGACTGTTTATTGGGGGCATACTATGCTCCAGCCACTGTAGGGAAGGGGAAAGGAGTAAGCCTTTAAATAGCACCTACTGTGTGCCAGGCACTCTGGGGAAGAGGAGTGGAGTGAGCATTTATATAGAGCTTATGTGCCGGGCACTATGCTCAAGAAGCACTTTTTACAGTTACCTCGTTTGCCCTTCACAACAGCCCTGGGAGGTAAGTGCTATTATTACCCCCATTTTACAGTCAAGGAAGCTGAAGCAGACAGAGGTTTAAGTGACTTGCCCAGAATCACACATCTAATAATTAAAATATTTGACAGCTCACATGTCTCACATAAGCCTTCTCATTTCCAGACTAAACATCCCCTGTTCCTTCAACAGGTCGGAATGACTTTACCTGGCCTGGTTGCTCTCCAGCCTCATTGTCTTTCCTAAAATGTGACCAGAATAGTTTTGATAATTCACATGTATATAGTGCTTTATATAAATTATCTCACTTGATCCTCACATAAACCTTGTGGAAAAGTGAAAAGTCATTAGCTTTTCTTGTTCTCATTTCGGATGAGGAATCTTAGATTTATAGGGAGTACATGCTTGACCCAGAACACAGAGGGGCTGAGGTGGTATTCAAGTCCAGCTCTTTCTGACTTCACGTCCAGCAGCACTGACCACAGTAGCCCAGAAGTGGTCTGACCAGGGCATAAATCAATGTTACTGTGATATCCCCAGCCACCTACTTCTCTTAATGCAGCCCATTTAAAAGACCCTGTCAAAGACAGCAGACTAGGTCTGTTACTCAATGCACTATGGTGGGGGTTTGGTTGGTCTTTTGTTTGCTTTCCATGTCACTCCTGATTTATATTACTTTTGCAGGCTCCTAATATTTACAAAGTTGAGGAGTCTTGAATCTAGGTATAAAGCTTTTGCATTTATCTTTATTAAATTCCATCTTACTACATACAGTCTATCCTCATAGAGATTTTTTTGGACGTCGACTGTCAGCCAACATGTTAACTATCCCTCCTAGTTTGTATCATTCACATATTTGATAAGTATGCCTTTATCCTAGTTATTGATAAAAAATGTTTAACAAGGACATATGCCCTGGAACATTCCACTATGTACTAACCTCCGAGTTTAAGACCCCCTTAATACAGTTCCAAGGCAACCTGAATATCTTGTATCACCTAACATCTATCTCTTCCACAAGGATGGCATCAGAGGTGTTGTCTAATGCTCAGCTCAAACCTGAGTAGACTGCACTGAAAGCTTTCCCTTAAGGTGAGGTTACTTTTTATTCTTTTTTTTTTTAAGGCAATTGGGGTTAAGTGACTTGCCCAGGGTCACACAGCTAGTGTCAAGTGTTTGGTCTGCGGCCAGATTTGAACTCAGGTCCTCCTGACTTCAGGGCCGGTGCTCTATCCACTGCGCCACCTAGCTGCCCCAGGTTACTTTTTATTCTTTACTCCCTTTAATATGTTCCAGAATTTTCCCACCACCCTGTTCGCAGGTTTTACACTTTTTCCTTTTTGGGAAGGTATAACATTTGCACTTCTCCTGTCCTCCAAGGTCTTTTAAAGTTCACCAACAGCAGGTCAGAAATTTAGCTGGCAGTTTTGTGTATCCTGGGACATAACATGGTGTCATGAACTCGTTAAGGGCAGCTAGTCAGTAGCTCTTCTGTGTGTGTGTTTCAAATCCCTGTTAAGCATTTTGGGTCTGTTCTGGGTCTGAAGATCAACCAGACACAAAATAGGAATGGTAATTGTCATCAGTCCCATCCATCACAACTCATGAGCCTTCTTAAATACTCCTCTCCACTAACATAACTTTTTCAAAGCCTTCTCTTGCTGTCTTTACTATCCATTACCAGCCTCAGTATGTTCTGGGCCAGGGGTGGGGAACCTGCAGCCTCGAGGCCACACATGGCCCTCTAGATCCTCAAGTGCAGCCCTTTGACCGAGTCCAACTTCTGCATAACAAATCCTTTTATTAAGGGGATTTGTTCTGTGAAGTTTGGATTCCACAGGTTCCCCACCTGTCTGGGCTTTACCACTACTGATGCTGTTCTTAGAGCATTTTCTTCATTCATTCATCCTGTCCTTGATTTCTCCAGCCAGCTCCTCCTTTCTTCCCCCCTCAGAATTGTTTATATTATAATACCCTGTCTTTCCTCAGATCTCCTTTAAAATCTGCTCTCCCAATATCTGGAGAACGTGTAGCTGTTTCTGGTTTTTCTGCCTTCTGATTGATTCTGTGGTGAGGAAGTCACTTCCCACTTGCACAGCCAGTGCCTCCTGCTCAGAATCAGGCATATGACAGTTCTCCTTGTCACTTTGCCGGTGGGGGGGGGGCGGTCCAGATTACAGTTTCCTGTACTGAGAGAAAATTGGTATATGGGCAGCAGGAGTCAGAGGGGTTCCCTGGAGAAAATGGGGGGAAAAGGCCTTGGGTAAAGAAATGAGAGATTGAGGCAAGACCCTAAGCTCAAGCCCTTGTCCTGGTTCTCCAATGGGTGCAGTGATGGTGGCCACACAGCAGGAAATGAATGATGCACAGCTGCTGCTGCAGCAGCGGGATTACTGCGCACACCATCTCATCCAACTACTCAAGTGTAAGCGGGACAGCTTTCCCAACTTCCTGGCCTGTGGCCATGAGAAGCACATCTGGGACCTCTGTGAGCACCAAGAGTAAGTTTCATCACCGTTGTACCCCAAGCCCACTCCCCATATCTTCCACATGTCCCCTCTCAGTCCAACCTGTTCACTCCACATCCTGAAAACAAAGGCCCAGCTCACACTCCCACACCCCCAAGTACCAGGTGTAAAACCTCATTCCTCCTATCCCACTAAGCAGACAGCTCTTGTCCCTTTGTCCCACTTTCTTTTCCCACCCTCAAAAGAACCCTGATATTCTGCACTGAGCACCAGCACCCTGGTTCCTCCAGCTCCCTACTGGCAGTGAGAAAGAATTATCATGAATTATGATGTATTTAGGGGGAGAGGGGAATTGGTGAAATCAACTTGACAAGCACAGGGGGAGTAGTGGTGGGAGATGAAGCTGAAAAAGTGGGGACCAGATTGTGCAGAACTTCAAATGTCAGGCTTATGGGTTTTAATTTGATCCCTTGGACTAATGGGAGCCATTTCTGCAGAGGAGTGATGTGATCACAGCTGTGATTTAAGAAAGAGACTGGTGGTATGTGTTGAAGAGGCACTGGAGGTGTAGAGACCAGTTATAGTGGAAACTTTGTCAGTAGCCCAGGTGAGAGGAATGAGGCTTAAGCTAGAGGGGTTAGTAGTGCAGATGGCAACTAGTGAATACAAATAAATCATCTGAAATAACCAATACTTCAAGTCCCAAGATGGGGCCATTAACAGAAACCTGCTAATTGAGTGTTCTTCTTGGGAGGAAGATGAGGAATTCAGCTTTGCCCATGCTAAGTTTAAGCCCTGACAGAATCCTAGAGGAGGTGTCCAGGAGATCATTGGAGATGCAGGTCCCAACACGAGGAAGTCAAGGCTAGACATAAGAGATTGGGAAAGCCTTGGGAATGGTACAACTCCTAACACCTATCCATCATTTTCCATTCCTAGCAAATCCAGCTTATAAAGTGACAACACATAGCACATGCCCAGGGATGGGTAGGAAGATACTGCCAAACCAAGGAAATCCCAGAACAGCTTTTGGGAGCCCCAGCTATGCCAAGCTTAGGTGAGGTTAGACCCAATAGGAATGAGAGGGTGTCTTCTTGGAAATGGGAGAAGTCTGCTTTGGACTGGAACCCTTGGGCCTTAGTCTTATAACTCCTAGGGATTCTCATACTTACCATATGAGCCAGGCTTAAAGGTAGGTACTAGAAAACACCTTCCTTCTCCCTTAACAGCCTTTACTTGTTTTATCAGCAGCCCAACTCTGAAAAGTATTAATTGATTGGTTCTTGAGTTACCCTACATACCTCAGAGTGGTTGTCCTGTAAGGGAGAGCTGCTGCTGCTGTTTGACAGGCCCAAAGGTGGGGGAGGGGTCAGTAGGGGACCTGAAGGTGGAAGGGCCTCGATGATTGATAACAAGCCTGACCCACTCTCATCTTTCTCCTAGCTATGTAGGCCGAATGAAAGAGTTTGAGCGGGAACGGCGTCTGCTGGCACGACAGAAGCGGCGAGCAGAGAGTGAAGCTTCAGAACCAAAATAGCCACAATTATACTGAAACCCCAGCTCTATCCCCATAACCATGTACCAGCTGGATAAATAAACACTGTTTTGACCTTCCTGGCCCACTCAAAGGCCTATGTTTGCCATCACAAGCACCACCCATCTGTACACTAGGGGCCTCAGGTCTTCCCTAACTAGCCTCCATCCCTCCTCTTTCCAGCAGGCTCCTTCTGATGTCAGAGACCTTTTGAAAGGAGGCAGAGTATAGACACATAGGGTATGGATGGCCCCTGAAGCCTGAGCTCTCTCTAATGACTTTCCTGAACTTTAGAAGGTTTCTTTACTTTCAGCTATACCATGATTAGAGGAGCCCTCCAGCCAGCATCCATGTTCATATTTATAACATTTATGTCTCCTCTTAACTTCTTCAAGCTGGGTAGGCATCCCAGTGTTTATTTTCCATAATATACCAAGGAAAGGCCTTCACATGGCAGGTGAGGATTCTGTGTAAATTTTATATAAAGATATAAACTGCAGTCACACAAGATTAGGTCTATTTAAGTACCCACAATAATTAAGCCATTAAAGTATAATTCACCAAGTTTGTTTGGGCTTATGCTTACCTCAGCACTAGGGCTCCTATTTAGGCTCTTATCCAGCCCCTTCCACACTGTATGCCACCAAAAAATCACCCAGAGCTCCTGGAATTAGAATGTGTTTTATTCCTGTAGCCAGAAAACAAGACCTAAAACCGGTATCCCTCCTGCAGTGCCCATGTTATGTTTGAGTCAGAAAAAGAGAGGAGGGCCGAGCCCTCTGCCCAGGCAATAGCTGAACTGACCCCAGGTCAGTGATGGGGGGAGGAGGGGAGGGGGAGGTGGAAATCCTGGCCCCTACCCCAGGGCATAAAATCAGGCTGAGAAGCTGCCCTAATCCCAAAGGGGAGAGGCTACTCCAAGAGGGCAGTTTAGAGAAGGAAGGGGATGATGGGAGAGCGTAGTGGAGGATAATCCCGGAACTCTTTCAGGTAGCTGCGGTGCTTCCCTTTGGCCCAGATGGTCATTTGGATGAAGCCCACGAGGGAGAAGAGAGCCACTGGAGAAGAAAAGAAGTAAGAGGGTAAATTCCCTGCCTCTCGTGGTATAGGAAGGCCCTTTTAGATTATCTTGGGATTTAGAGCCAGGAAGGTTTTTGGTTGTTCTATCTGGTTCAACCCCTTCATTTCACAGATGAGTAAACAGAGTAAGAGAAGTAACTACCAATGACACAAAGGCAGTAAGAGTTCTCCAAACCCAAGTCCTCTGACTCTTAAATCTAATACTTTGCACCTTGCTGTAGTGAGTGGAAAGACCAAATGACAAGGTTATCTTTGTTCCCCAAGCCCAGCCTGAGGTTATCCAAGGAGTACAGAAAGATGATTAGGAGTCTCACCTGGGAGGCACTGAGTCATGATGGCAAACCCAATCCAGGATCCCACCTATGGAAGAAAAAGGTCAGGGTACAGTTAAGGCCTGGTATCCCTGCCCAACACAAACCCCTCCAGGTGTAGGCTGTGTGGGCTGGCTGAAACAGGACGCTGACCCTTACGGATCTGCCCACCCTCCAAGGTAACTGGAGCCTCTGATCCAGGTGATAAAATAACCTGGAGCTCTTGGTTTCTAGTGCAGGCTAGAAAATCTTGGCCTGATTAAGGCCACAGGAGAGAAGGGGAATGGATACCATTTGCTCCTGATTTAGTGACCTAAATGTCTCCTCATTCCTGGGACCTATGGGATGCCCCATTCTACAATATAGGGCCCAGGGCTCTAAAGAGGTAACCATTAATGCTGGCAGAAGAAAACCCCGAGTCCAACAAATCACAGGGAACAAATGCAGAAACTGAAGGGGAGAGACCTCACCTCATACGTGTAATTGGGACATGACACCAGCAGGAAGAGCCACGTGAAAGGGTTCTTGGTTGGATAAGGTATCTTCCGGGTCTTGGAACCTGTAAGAGAGTGGGTGAATAACATCAGCCCTAAAGATTGAGAACTTGGAAAAAAAAATTAAAATTAAAAAAAAAAAGATTGAGAACTTGAAGGACCTGTGGAGATCACCTAGTACAGCCCCACTTATTTTACAGATATGGGGAAAAGGCCCACAAAGGTAGTAGCAGATGCCACTCACATTCTCAACTGTGCTCACAAACCCAAACACAACCTGGTAAACAGCAAGCACCTACTATGTGCAGACACAACCAGCACAGACCTGCTAGCTATGACCTCCAGCACTTACCTGCTGGGCGCAGATTCCTCAAAGCGATGTGAATGGAGAAGTTACCTAGCTGGCAGAGCTGGGAGAGGGCCATAATTAGACAAGGTCCTGGCCTCCAAACTACCCCCTCCAAATGGATTCCACACACCACCTCCCCTACTCCACCCCCACCACACACAGACCACTCCAGACCCAAGGGCCCCCTTACCACAAAAATGCCAAGTGCTAGTTTCACCTGCTGACCACCATATGCTTAGGAGGGGAAGAGGAAACAGAAGAAAAAGGGTGAATGTCAGCTGAAGGGACCAGCGGATCCCCAGGGACAGCGCAGAGACTGGGCCACTCACTTGGGGGAGTGTAGAGAGGGTGGTTGATATAATAGGCCATCCAGGCAGCAAAGCCCCAGTAGTAGGTACAGTTCTGAAAACGGGAGGAGAGACAAATGGGTGAGAACACCTGGAACATCAATTCTATAAATAAATCTCAATTCATCTATAAAATAGGGATAATTCTTGTACTACCTCCCTCATGTCTCTTGTGAGAAAAGTATAAGCTTTAGAGAAGTAAAGGGATTTGTCACACAGCAAGGGTCAGAACTGCCACTTGACCCCAGTGTCCAAACTTTTAGTGTCAGCTGCAGCTCAAGAGCCACTCAGCTATTTCCCAAAGAGTCCCCCTCCCCACTCTAATGTGCACAACACAGTGTGCTCATCCAGCCTGTGGGGAAGTGCCCCCCACACACCACCCCACCCCACTCAGAGGCAGCCCCTCCTCCACCTATCAGGACGTTTTCTCGGATACCAAGTCCTAACTCGGCTTCCCCCATTACTCACTCCTGGTTTTCCCTATGAGGCTAAATAGAACCAGTCTGATTCCTCTTCAACAGTCCTTCAAATACATGAAGACACATCGTGTGCCTCAGTCTTCTCTACAATTTAAACAGTCCCCAGACCTTCAACTCATTTTCACATTCAAGGCCTGTGGCTATGCTGGTTGCACAACATTGTAGATGAGGAGTGGCCAGTGGGTACATAAATGGGATTATCACCTCATTTTTTAAAGTTATGCTTTTATTAATGCAATCCAAGGTTACAATAGCTTTTGGCTACTACACCAGCCCACTAAGGCAACTAGGTGACCCAGTGGATAGAGTGCCAGGCCTAGAGTCAGGAAGCCTCATCTTCATAAATTCAAATCTGGCCTCAGACACTTACTGTGTGACCCTGGGTAAGTCACTAAAGCCTGTTTGCCTCAGTTTCCTCATCTGTCAAATGAGCCGGAAAAGGAAACAGCAAACCACTCCAGTATCTTTGCCAAGAAAAACCCAAATGGGGTCACAAAGAATCAGATACAACTGAACAACAGCAACAATGACAACAAATTGTTGGCTTATATTGAATATAGAGTTCACTAAATGCCCTGCTCTATTTCAGACGGGCTCTCACTCAAACATGCCTCCTCCACTTTGTGCTTGTAAAATTAATTACACCATACTGCTTCTTTCTCAAAAAAATTAAAATTATGCTCACAATTATGCAGCATTTTAAGATTTTAAGAACACTTTCCTCACAATAGCCCTGTGAGGTAGATGGTTTCAAGTATTATTGACATTTTATAGATGAGGAAGCCAAGAGTTAAAGAGGCTGTGACTTCCTGAGGGTCCCACAGCTAGTGCACGTCAGAGCCAGGACTAAAACGACATCTCTCTGACCCAACTAGCTTGTGTTGCATTAATGCAGCCCCTCTAATAAATCCCATACTGGCCTAGAGCCCAGGGAAGTCAGTACAGCAGTGAGAAGAGAAGGAAGCAAGCAGGCTGCCTGATGAGCTCATCATCTCCAACAACACGATCCAAGGGCTCAACAAAGCAATGCTGCCTTGAGTCTGGGGAGAAGGAAGGGCAGACTCCTCCTAGGGAGAACTCTGGCAAGGTCTACAATGAAATCTCAGCCTTTAATGAACGTGATTAGCAGCCCAGGCTGCCTCTGGGAGCTTCAAGGCAACATCTGGGCCACCTAATTGAGTAAGACCACAGCCAACTAAGAGAATATTCTCCAACATGGCAGGGCTCTAACAAAGTTCCCTGCCAGCAGCTTGCTATTCAGCCACCTGAAAAACGTGAAGCCCTCTCATGCCAGATAGAATCAAAGCACAGTCTCAGTGCTTGCCCCCTTCCCTTTTCCCTCTACCCACCAAGGGCTAACCTTGAAGATGTTACGCAGGGGCATTGTCCCATGAGAGAAACGGTGAACAAACAGTGTCTCCAGTAAGCGCTTGATGTAGTGGAATGAGTGACAAATACAGGCAAGACTAGAGGAGGAGGAAAAGAGGAATAGCTCAGAATTCTGGGCTCCCACACCCCACTCCACCCCCAGGCCCTGCTAATCACAACAAGGAAGGAAATCACAGAACTGGAAGGGGCCTCTGAAGTCATAAGAATCATAGGATCAAAGCTGGACAGAATCTTAGAGATTTCTAGTCCAACTCCCTCATTTTACAGATGAGGAACTGAAGCTCAAGAGGATAAAGGATTTGCCCAAGGTACCAAAAGTGGCAGCAAGTAAGAGAGCTGGCAATGGAAGACAAGCCTAACTCCAAACCCACTCCACAACATGGCCTCTCCAATGACATCATCCAGATTTGTAACTGACCAGGAATCCCTTCACCCAAGTACCCCAACAAGCCCTCATCCAGACCCTTTCCTGCAGCCCTCCAGGGATAGGGTGGGAAACTAGGGACAAGGGGGATGTGGCAGGGCTGGAAACTTGTGCCTGAGTTTGCCCACTCCCCTGCCCAAAAGCCATACTCACTGAACCACAGTGTGCCGGCTAGATGTGAAGTCATACTTGTGACCGTAGATAAAGGGTACCCGGAAGTAGAATAGTAGGTAAATGAGGAGAGGGCCAGCATACTCTGTCAGGAATACCTGGGCAGTGAGGGACATAAATAAAGAGAGGGAAGGGAAGAGGGCTACATATTGGGTTAGGGCTTCCAGGAGGAAAGAGCATGGATCTCACCGTAACCCAGCTGATTTGGGCTCCCAGATCCCGGAAGTAAAGTGTGGCTGTGGTCCCCACAGGCAGGTTCTGCAGAATGTCCTCATCCTTCAAGGATTTGCCCTCTGTATGAGAAAAGAGGGAGAAGAAGGCAAGTAAAGAAGGGGAGAAATGTACTATGATGAGTCTTAAAGTTTGAGGGTAGAGGAAGAAGATGGGTTCCCTATAAAAGTGTTTACTCACTAGGATCCAGCCGGAGGGACTGCCGGGCAGCATACCACTGGGGATCTAGGGAGGAGAAGCAGAGAAGATAGAAGACCCTGTCCTGGTAATCTGTCACCTCAGGGAACATGGCCTTAAGGTGGCCCACCAAACCTTATCATAACACTATATATCCCACCCCAGCCAACTGGCCAAGCTCTCTCCCCTCTGCTGCTTAAACTCCAGAGATACCATCATATCAGGGAAACATTCCCAAACATGAAAAAAGAAAATTATTTCTTTTTCTGTAAAACTCCCAATGCCTCCCTCATCAACAATTTATATCCCTTTGCTTAAATGTGGAATATTTCAAGTCAACCCACCAAGTGTTTTGAGGATTCATACATTCATTTCTGTATTTACTTAATGAATGTCATTCTACCACACCACAATGACTATCATGAAAACAAAAAATATCTTAAAAATAACACTGCAATATTACTAATGACACAAGAGGGAGCTCTCACCAACAGCAAAAATTGTTTTCACAGCAAGAATAAGACTTTGGTTTGGTTTTTTCTTTCATATTTTGCTCTTTTTTCCAAGGCACTGGTGTACTCTGACTCCTGTTCTTGGTTCCCAACTCCAGTCTAGCCTGCATACCCCAAAGGCAGACAGTGTCTAGCCCAACACTACCAACAAAGGAAGCTTGAGAAAGGCCAAGGAGAAGCGGTAAACCATAAAGCTCTAACTCTGTGCCTCCCAGCATTTCTCCTCCTCTGGAGTTAGACACCAACAGAAGGGAAGGAGCAGTCTCTTGGGGGCCTTGGTTTCCTCAACTGTAAAATGAGGAGTCTGAACTAAATGACTATGTGGGCCCCATCCAGCTCTGACAGTTATTCTGTGAGATTCCTGAGAGGCCCAGTGCCCCGCTCTGGGGCCAAGATACATACGTGATTTTGTGAAGAGGTTCTTGATCTCAGCAATGGTGGCATTGGGTTCCACCTGGGAAGAAGTGCACCAGGGGAAGCGTTAGCTCTGGCATGAGGGCAGTCCTAGGAGCCAGGATGTCACACCTCTTCTTGGGTGAATTGGAGGTGGGGGAGGGGGGAAAGGGTGAGATAAGGGAGCTTGGGCTTCTCTATACAGGAGGAAAGGATGGAAGCAGAAAGCCAGGGAAAGGGAATGTCTCCTGGTGGAAGGGTGCCAGCTCAAGCTACCACCACTTACCCCAACCCACCACCAGGGACTTGCTGCCAGGAAGGTGTCTTATAGTAGAATCTAAGAGTACCTTGCCCTCATCAAGGAAGCAAATGCTGAATGGGAGGAATCATAAGCCTCAAAACAAAAACTCAGGAAATAATGTTTATAAGATGGCAACAGGTCTATTTATGGTGAGCAAAGACCATGAACAGGAGGGAACCCCAGAGTATATGGCTCTGAGAGAAAATTTGGACAAGTCCTTCTATTCCCTATCCCAAGGTCTACCTCTGCCCCTCTAGCACTGGAGTCATCTTCCCCACTCAGCTTCCTCTCACAAAGGTCTAAGAGGAAGCACAGAGAATCTCATTCTTCCCAAACCGGAAGCTTGGGGGAGAAGGGGAGGTAGAGGGAGATTCCAATGAGACCTTCCTTGCCTTTGGCAAGGCTATACTATCCTATCCATTACTGTAAGAAAGAAAGAAAATCTGCCTTCCAAGGGTACAGACCCTCAAAGATATGAGGAACAGGCAGTGACTAGCCAAGCAAACACCTGCAGGTGGCAGACTTGCCCCAGACAGGAGTCTTAGATTGGATTGGCAAAGAAGCCCCAAAACCTTCAACCAACAGGGGAGAATCTGTCCAAGTTACAGCTGTCAGAAGGGATTTAAAAGTGTAAAGGCTCTGGGTGAAGGCTGATAGAGAGGGCTAAACACCTCAGGAGACTTGGGACTTCCTTAGGTCTGACAGAAAAACAGAAAATGGGTTTTGAGATTCAAGAAGCTGGGTTTTCCTTGAGAAGATCCAAATCATTGTGTGAGCCTTTAAAACCTAGAGTGAAGCCATTTCCTCTTCCTCTTGACAAGTAACGGGTATCAGCCAGACCAAATCCTCACTCAAGGCTTAAAGGACAAGATGGAACTGAGTACCTGTATTGTCGTGCCCATCCTCCTCTTTCCCAGAGTTCAAAAGAGCTCCAGGGCAGTTCATACACCATCATGCCTATGGATTTAGACCTGTCCCATTTTCCAGCTGGGAAATGGGAGGCAGAGAATCTATTAGCTGGTTCCTATTTACCCATCAGTAGGAATGGCCAAACCTACAAATACTCTCTAGTGACACTGATGGGTATTGAAGTCAACAAACATTAAGTATCCACAATATGCAAAGCCCGAAGTAGAAGGCAGGAAAGTTAGTCTGGAGAGGCAAATAGGGCATAGGGAAAAGATGATGGGACTTTGGGTCAGAGGAACAGGGTTCAAATTCTGGCTCTGCTGCAAAATACTGATGACCTTGGAAAAAATTACTTGTCTAGGCCCAAGTTTCCTCATCTGTATAATGAAGGAATTGGACTAGATGATCTATGAGATTCTCCAGCTTTAAATTCTATGATCCTCTGGCTTGTCTGTACTCAACTTCCCCTGTCCCCACCTCCCATGGCCATGCACACACCTCAATGAAGGGCTACTTCCTCTATACCTAGAGGTGTGTCATGACTTCCAAAATAAGGCAAGAGTGAGAACTCATGCATTTATATTTCTATTTAAAATGCACCCCTATAAGATTCTCTCCTTCCCCCTGCGCCACCCACTGCCTTGGGAAATTGGCCTCTTACTTTTCAAGAGTTAATATATGAACTGGGCATGGAGGATGTGAGGGGGAGAGTGTAAGAGAAACAAGAAAAGGTGCTGAGGAGTGGGCTTTGGTAGAGGCTGGGCCAGAGTACCCAGGGTTCCCAAGACACCCACCAAAGGGATCCTAGCAGTCACTCAAGAAAAAGGAATCTTTACCTTATCCAGGAAACACAGCTTCTCCCGTGTCTTGGCATCCAGAATCTCCACCTCAAAGAAGAGAACAGCCTTTTTGGGTTTCTTAGTGGCTTTTGATGGGACAATCCGGGGGAAGCTGTTTATGCTGGGGGCCATCACCTGACTGGCCTCTCGGGCCACTACGTTCATATCCATGCTGTCAAGCCTCTCCAGTCTCTACCACTGGGGAGTGCTGTTAGGCAGATCCACTCCCAAAAGTATTGGGGAGGGGGTTGAGGCCTGGCTCCAGCTGCTACCCCAGATACCAATCAGCTTTTCAAATCAGCCCCCCAAACCGATCCTCCCTGCTCGGAAATGCCTCCTGTATGACCCAGCCCCTTGAGTCCGATCAAATTCTGCCACGGTGCTGGGAAGAGAGCTGGTCCCTGATCCCAGCACTGCCAACTCTCCTCCCAGATGTAATCTGATCATGCTTAGACACGGACCATTACTGTTTTCAGCTAAATATAAAATGAAGCCCTGATAAGTTCCAGGGCCCTCTTTTTGACGGAACCCCCAAAAGGACCCATGGTGAGACAGTTCCTATGTCTCCCACAGGCACCAGAGCAAGCAGCCTTTGGACTTGGGGGAAGGGACAGGTAAGAAAATGGTATGGTGTACCACAGAGACCCAAATGTGCCATAAGCCTATTCCTTTTTGGACTGCCACGGCAGATCCCACTGTGTCCAGGTTGAAATATCAGGTAGTTTAGAAAGCACGATCCTTGCCTTGCCAATGGCAGCTACCACAGCCCAGCTAAATGGGAGAATAAAGGGTCAGGTGCACAAGCACAACACTTGGGCCAGTAGAAAGAATGCTAAATGTGGAGTAGGACCTACCACCTCTGACACTTCCTAGCTACATATCCTAAATAAATCCCTTAACTTCTCAGTTTCTTCATCCCTAAAATGAGGTGTTAGACAAAAATCTATTATCTTATGATCTCTGGAGCACATTTGAACTTGGCACATTCCCTCCTCTCGACCCCCAGGACTCTTAGCCAATCTCATACCCCAGTTTCTTCTCTTTCTCATGGCTGCTTATGGGATCAGGACTCAATCAAGTTGCAAGGCCAGACATGGGGTGGGAAGCTGGAGCATGAGCCAAGGCTCTCCCAGCTGCTGAGAAATCCCTGCTATTCTGAGAATCTTTGAGATGACAACATCCATTTCCCCTTCAGCTCCAAAAGACACTATGGATTATTTTCCTTGAGCATTTATGCTCTCAAGAAAGTGACAGATTCCTGCAATCACAGGTCAGAGACACTCTATTTACATATATAAGGAAAAACTAAGAAGCATCACACACAGATCAACCCTAAGCTGGAAGGTTTAAGTCAGAAATAAATCTCCTTCCTTAAAGAACCCCAAGCAAGTCTAAAGTCAAAAGCAACATGAGAGTAGCAAAAAGTACCCTGGACTTGCATTCAGAAGAGACTTGAGTTTGAATCCCACCTCTGACATTTATCAGTTGTTGGGTTGTGGTCAAATCAAATAACCTCTTTGAGGCTGTTTTCTCATCTGAAAAATGGCAATCATATTAATCATTTGCACTACCTAACCTCACAGGATTGTTGTAGTTAAAGTTAACCTTTTTGTTAACCCTTAAGCACTACGTAAATGTGAGCTTATAATTACTATAAAGACTACTTTCATCAGAAAATATCAACAGCTCATCAATGTCTATGGGAAAATGCTCAACTCTATATCCAGGCACTCAAGACCACCTAACATCTACCTGCCTCCTAACTGATGATCCAATCAAAGGGACTTCAGAGCTCAACTCATATTTGAGTGGGAATCCCCTGAAGAACAATATCCTTAACTTCTGGTCATCCAGACTCCACTTGTCTCCTATTTTGCACTGTTCTCCTCCTACACTCTTTCTCTTCACTCTAGCCACACCAGTCTCTTCACTGCCTCCCCTCAAAAAACCTTGCACTTTCCTGCCTCCATGCCTTTGTTTACATCAGTCCCTCAACCTGCTAGGCCCTCCCCTCCATTTTCTCTCCATATCCTAGAAGTCTATCAAGATAAAGCACAAGTCTGATTCCCTCTTCTAGGGAGACCCCATCTCAGTCCACAGTAATCTGTCTCTCTTGAGTTCCTCCAGCCTCTGGCTACCGTTTTACTTACTAAGAACCTGTCACACAATCAAGTGACAAACATTATTAAGTCCCTGCTATGTGCCAGGCACTGTGGTTAGCTCTGGGGATACAAAAAGAGGCAAAAGACAATCCCTTGCCCTCAAGGAGCTTACAACCTAACGGAGGAGATGACACGCAAACAAATATATACAAGACAAGCTACATACAGGATAAATAGGAAATAATTAGCAGGGGGATGGCACTGGAATTAAGAAGGGTAGGGGAAGGCTTCCTGCAGGAGGTGAGATTTTTAGCTTGAGGCTTAAAGGAAGTCAGGGAGGTCAGTAGTCAGAGTGGAGAAAGGACAGCATTCCAGGAATGGGAAAAAGATAATGCCTAGAGCTAAGAGATGGAGTGTCTTGCTCATGGAACAGCCAGAAAGCAAGCAGGACTGAAGAGCACATGTTGAGAAGTAAGATTTAAGAAGACTGGAATGTTAGGAGGGGGCTAGGTTATGAAGGTCTTCGAAGACCAAACAGAGTTCTGGATTTGATCTTGAAGGCAACAGGAAACCACTAGACTTTATTGAACTGGGGGGCCGGGGGGGGGGGGGTGGTCTTGGTGTAACATGATTAGACTTGTGCTTTAAGAAAATCACTTTTAGTGGCTGAACAAGGATGGACTAGAGTGGGGAGAGACTTGAGACAGGCAGACCCATCAGCAGGTTATTGCAATAGTCTAGGCATGAGTTGATGAAAGGCCTCCACAAAAGTGGTGGCAGTGTCAGAGAGAAAGGGGCGTATTCAAGAGATGCTGCAAAGGTGAAATCAACAGGCCTTGGCAACAAATTAGATATGTATATATAAATGTTTATTGACTGTGTGACAGGTTCTTAGTGAGTAGAACAGTAGCTAGGGCTAGAGGAACTCATAAAAGACAGATCACTGTGGACTGAGAGGGGGTTTCCCTGGAAGAGGGAGTCTTGAAAGACTTCCAGGATTTTGAAAGAAGAGGGAGGGTAGGGCCTAGCAGGTTGAAGGAGTGGTGCGAACAAAGTCATGGAGGTAAGGTTGATTTTTGTTTTGTTTGTGGGGGGGAGGGCCATGAAGAGACAATAATAATGAGGAGTCCAGGATGACTACCTGGGTTGAGGAACTAAGAAGATGATGTTGCCCTCAACAGGAACAGGGGCGGGGGGGTTAGACGAAAAAATAATGAGTTCAGTTTTAGGACACATTGAGCTTCAAATTTGTACTGGACATCCAATTTGAGGCAGCTGGAGAAGTGAAATTAAAGGTCAGCAGAAAGATTGGAGCAAGAAAGGTAGATCTGAGAATCATCAGCATAGAAATGTAAATTAAATCCATGGGAGCTGAAGAGGGAGCTTCACTCCAAGTGAAGTAGTATAGAGGGAGAAAAGAAGAGAGCCCAAGACAGAATCCTGAGAGATATCTGCAGTTAGAGGGTGTGATCTGGAGGAGGATCCAGCAAAGGAGACAGAGAAGGAGTGGTCAGATAGGTAGAAGGAGAACCAGGAGACAGTGCTATCCCAAAAACCTAGAGAGAAGAGAGTGTATAGGAGGAAAGAATGATCAATAGTGTTAAAGGCTGCAGAGAGGTCAACGAGAATGAAGATTGAGAAAAGGACATGGATTTGACAACTAAGAGATCATCAGTAACTTCGGTCTAGTATGGATACTTTTCACATGTATATGTCTCAACATCCCAATTCTGTGGTAAGTTCTATGCTTTACACACTTCTGCATCCATCTTGTACAAGTAAGACGCCCAGGAAGTAGCTGCTGACTGATTGCCATTTTTTTTCTTTAATCAAGAGTCTGCTCTGGTCCAAAGAACTCTAAAACACTAGGGCAGAGGAGGGTCAAAACAAAGTCATTTAAACTCACACAGTTTGGTCTCATGCTGAGGGTCTATCTGAGGGTCTTCTCAATACGACCTGAAACTTCCCAAAAATCAACCATTAGTGAAACCTACAGAAAACAGAGCCCCAACAAGGCCCTATTAGATCCCAATAGCACAGTGAGTACCACAAGTTACTACAACTAGGCCTGGGATCCACTTCTGGAGGGGCTCAGAAAAGTATCACACTTACAGAATCACAGAATCTTGGAACTGGAAAGGAGCTCCAAGGGCATCTCAGTCCGACTAATACTGGAATAAGGATCTCCTCTACAACATCCCCAACAAGTGACTATTCAGCTTCTACATGAAGACCTCCAGGGATAAAAAGCATGCAACCACCTAATGTGGCCCTTTCCATATTGAGACAATCTAAAAGTTAAAAAATTTTTCTTTATGTTAACCTTAAATCTGCCTCTCTGTAATTTTAATGCACCTTTCCTGCATCTGCCCTCTGAACCCTTCACCCACCTCAGATTATCAATCTACAGCTGGTAAAGGACCTCAGAAACGAGCCATCTAGTACAACCATCTCACTGGACAAAGAGTCATAGGACTGAGAGCTAAAAAAGGTCTTAGGGATCATCTAGTTTAACCCCCTCATTTTACAAATAGGAAAACAGAAACAGAAAAAGATAAGTTCACACAGGTAAATAAGCAGCAAAACCAAGATTTAAACCCAGGTCCAAGGACACCAAAGCCAGTGCTTTTTCTGACATATTACATCCTTTAGCTAAACAAAGCAGAAATTCCTCTTTTCCCTTCCTCTTCCTCCCCTCCCCACCTTCACCATCACAAGATATGTGATACCCTCTCTAAACCTTAAGAGAGGGTCTTCTGTGCCCCTATTCTCATCAGGGAAAGTCCTGCCCAGGTATTCAAGGTTTCTTCACACAGCTTATTCAGCCTATGTGCAAGCTCCTTGCAGCCCCCTTCAGCAAAAAGTCCAGCCCTGAGCAGGAGACATATAAATAGTTCCTGAGCTCCTGGGGGGGCTAAGACCATAAGACACACCAACCTCTCCCCA